GTGGACCCTGCCCCTGCGTCCGCAGACGCTGCCGGTGCCGCTCCCGCGGCGACCGTGGAGGATGGGCGGCCATAAACTGCCAACCCGCAGCCCGGCGCATCGGGTCCCCAGCCTCTGCGCGCACCAGTCTGGCCACCTTTGCGCGAGGAGGGGAAAGAAGGGAGAGGATCGGCGGCGCGCAGAGGGGGTAACCCTAGGAAGCAATCAAGACCCCCCCCTTCCGGTCAAAGGATAACGCATCCAGCACCCGGAAGCGTCATCTTGGCAGCCGGAGGAGGAGGAGGAGGAGGAGGAGGAGAAGGAATACTACTATTACTACTACTACTACTACTACTACTACTACTACTACTACTACTACTACTACTACTACTACTACTACTACTACTACTACTACTACTACTACTACTACTACTACTACTACTACTACTACTACTACTACTACTACTACTACTACTACTACTACTACTACTACTACTAACTACTATACTACTACGACTACTACTACTACTACTACTACTACTACTACTACTACTACTACTACTACTACTACTACTACTACTACTACTACTACTACTACTACTACTACTACTACTACTACTACTACTACTACGACGACGACGACTACGACTACGACTACTACGACTACGACTACGACTACGACTACGACACTACTACGACTACTACTACTACTACTACTACTACTACTACTACTACTACTAGACTACTACTACTACTACTACTACTACTACTACTACTACTACTACTACTACTACTACTACTACTACTACTACTACTACTACTACTACTACTACTACTACTACTACTACTACTACTACTACTACTACTACTACTACTACTACTACTACTACTACTACTACTACTACTACTACTACTACTACTACTACTACTACTACTACTACTACTACTGCTACTGCTACTACTACTGCTACTACTACTACTGCTACTGCTGCTACTACTACTACTACTACTACTACTACTACTACTACTAGTAGTACTCATAATAATAATACTAATAATACTAATACTAATGATAATCATAATACTGATGATACTAATAAAACGAATCATAATATTAATAATAATAATAATAATCATCATAATCATAAGCATAATCATAATCATACTACTGATAATAATACTACTAATAATAATAACAACAAGACGAAAAAGAAAAGAAGAGGAGGAGGAGAAGGAGGAGGAGGGGGATGAGGAAGAATAGGCAGTTTCTTTGAAGGCGCCGGCCCTAAATCTATTGATAGGGCCCGCGCCTTCTAAGAAGCAGGAGTGTTTTGAAGAAGACTTCCTCCCTCCCCCTACCCCCTACCCCAGTGTGCGCGCCGCCAAGAGGAGGCTGAGGAAGAGGAGGAGGAGGAGGAGGAGGAGGAGGAGGAGGAGGAGAAGTGAGCGCGGTGGCGGATCCGTGCGACCGCGCAGCGGAGTACCTCGCCGCCAGAAGATCTGTGGCAGTCTCGTGCCGCGCCGACGCTGGCGCTGGCCAACCGCTTGAGCAGGCCAACCGCGAACGATCTCCGCTGTCGCATCGCGGAGATCGCCCAACACTGACGGCTCCAATCACGCGGGGCACAAGGCCAAAGCTAACGTCCACATCAGCACGACCAGAGCTGGCCGTAGCCATGCCCACCGCCTCGGCGCCGTGGCCCCGGGGCCCCGTCGATGAGTGGTGGGCGTAGACGTTTGCCCGCCCCTGCGGGCTGCAGAGCATCCACATCCAGCGCTCCCTAGGGACCTGGAGCGGGCCTCCCGAGGTGGTGGGTAATTATGGAGGTTTCCTGGCGGTGCATGCGAACCACCAGCCCTGGCCAAGCCCATCCTGGGCCCCGAGGCTGGTGACAATAGCCGTTAATAGCCCCACCCCAGAGGTCTCCAGCGGACCCGGAACAGAGCCAAAGACGCCCGACAATTTCGAGAGAGAGCAATTTCTAGTTATAGGGATTGTCCTCAACCGTATCTGGGGGCGTCTTGGTCTACGAATCTTGGCATGCAGCAGGTCTTTTCTATCTGGTAGTGCCCTTGTGCCCGAGCCCGCAGCAATCGTTGTGGACAGCGGGGCGAGGTGGGTGACTGAAGCGTTAGGCGCAGCCGCCAAGGACCTGATTTGGGCGGTGGGCGAGGGGAGAAAGCGAGAGAGAGAGAGAGAGAACAAAACAAAACATATACAAAAGGAGAGGATGGTTCGGGAGGCTCCACGGCTTCCCACAGGACGTCACTGGCCGCTACCGCCCCGCCGACGCCGAGCCAGTCGGGAAGAAGGTCGCCGGCCTACGGTCGGAAAGTTTTGGACAGGGTGTCGTTCCGCCGGCTCCAGCCCACCACCCTTTGGCGCGACGCGCTGCCCCACGCTTTGGCGCGGCGCGCTGCCCACTCCCCAGTCCCCAAGCGTCAACGTCCCGAGCCTCTCCAAAGCTCGCGCCTCGCGGGGCGGAGCGACACGCTGTCTGCGCGCAGGGCATAGCGTGTCGCCGGGGCCGCCGTGGCGACACGCGATCCAGAAGTTCTAGACCGTACCTCTCACCACCGCCCTTACAGTTGGTGGCGAAATCCGCACCCTGCCCTCGCCGATCCACGATTCAGACAGCTCGAGGGGCGGCGGGGGTAGGGCTCGGAGTTCGTCGAGCGCGTGGCGGAATCCGAACCCTACCCCCGCCCCCCATCGATTCAGGAGAGTCGATGGACGGTCGGACCGAGGTATGACATCGAGGTCGGTTCGGGGAGGGTGCCCTCATGTTTCTCGTGTTTGTTGGATGTTGTTGCGCATCCTGGGGGAGGGCACCCTCGAATGTTTTTCGGTTTTGGCCGGCGGATGGTCTCATGTTCTTGAAGGATGCTCTTCTGTCCTAGGTCTGGCCGGAGGGTTCTGAGAAACTGCTTTGGTCTAAGAATATTATTTGGCTCGAGGAGCATGTCGAGGCAGGCCTATAGGAATGCTGGCACGGCTGGTCCCTGCTCAATCCCCCCGCCTCCCATCGATTCAGGAGAGTCGATGCTTGGTGGGGGTAGGATGCGGATGTCGCCACCCAAGCAGACCTAGGCCGGCCGACCGTGGCTGTGCCCAGCGGGGCGCGGCAGGCGCCTTCCCAACGGCAGGGCGCCACCACGGGTCGGCCGCCCCCAGGGCAGTGCCCCGAAAGGTCCTGCGGAGGCCCCATCGACGGCCCGCCTCGACGTCGGCTGCCCTTCCACGCAGGACCCCATCGAGGGCCCTTCGAAAGGAAAACCCCTGCGAAGGCCCCGTCTCCTCCTCCTCCTCCTCCTCCTCCTCCTCCTCCTCCTCCTCCTCCTCCTCCTCCTCCTCCTCCTCCTCCTCCCTTCTCTCCTCCCCTCGTTTGATGCTGCTGCTGCCCTTGCTGGCCTTCTCCTCCAACCGAAAAAGTGCTGCCTGGTCCGGCTCTGGAGTCTCGCCGACCATCCGACGCGACAGGCCCTAGTATCGTTCTTGCAGAGCAACATTCCAGCATGGGCATGATTCTCGATAGAGCCAGCCATAGGCATCCTGATGGGTCCTGGCGCGTCTCTAGAGGACGAATGGGAGGCTGCTGGTCAGAAATGGTGGGTGCGCGCGAGGGAGACGGGGGGTGGCCGAGCTCCGACAGCAGCCTCCATCGCCCTCTATCACACTCGATGCTTGCCTGTCCTTAGTTATCTGGCCCAGTTCTTTGCCATCTCTCCGCATGTGCTCAAAAAGGAGACGTGGGCGCTCCACAAGCTCCTCCGCATACCGCCGAGCTCTTTCAAGCGCAGTGAATTGTTCAGCATAGGGAACTGGCTTCGGTCTGGAGCACCGCAATCTGTCCTGCTCTCAACGACTGCTGCGGGGTGGAGGATGGCGACGTCGACGCTGGTGGGGGAGTGGGAAGGGATCTTGGAGCGCCATGCAGATGCTGCCGCTGAGTGTCTCCCACTGGTCTCGGCCATCCGAGGCAGGTGGTCCGCTCCGTGCTGGCGCATCCCGCACAGCATTGCCCAGCAATTCGCAGGCTGGAGCGGGCGTGGTCCGAGGCACGCGACCGCGGCCCTCCCAGCACACTGCATACCGCGGTCGACGATCGCGGCGGCGGAGGCCGAAATTCTCAGAGAACAGGCTGATCGCCACCGCCGCCGCCGCGTCGCTCTTTAATCGAAGTTCATCTCTATTCTTACCTCTCGCCTCTTCCCTGACGCCCTCCACCTCCTTCTCCACCGTCGCGTGTCCTCTGCCCTCCACACTGTTGCCCCCCCTTCGACTGATGAGTTGAAGGTGCGTTGGCGAAAGCTGAAACACATTCTCATTTTGTCGACGCCCATGCGTGTCTGGGCGCATCTCAAGACGTTGGCGGGTGCATGGATCACCTCCCGACGGGTCCACATTTTGACTCCTCTATCCTGCCGATTTGGGTGTGAGCACGCTCCCGATTCTCTCGCCCACTATCTCCTTTGCCCCCGTCTGCTTCACCTCCTCGCCCTCCCTGGTCGCATCTTCCTTCCCTCTGATCCCATTGTCCGTCTCGGACTAGGCTCGGATGCAGAGTACAGTGCAGCAGAAATTCCGAGGCAACGTGCCTATGAACTTACTGCTTTGAGTTTCCATATCTTTTACAAACTCAGAGCCGAACTGGCTTGCCATCCGCACCTGTTCGGCACGTATAGCATTACTACACAGGCTAGGCATTCAGCGATGCTTGCTTGCCAGTCCAATCAGGAGCGTGCTGGAGTCGCACCCGCGACCTCATCGCGCACAGGCCACTCCATATCTCGGCCGTTGAGGCCCCAATCAGGTAATTGATCGTAGAGTGGTTGCATGACTCGCCCCCCCAGGCTACGTGGACTCCTCTTCCTCCTCCTCCTCCTCCTCCTTTTCCTTTGCCCCCGTTCTCCTCCCCCTCCTCCCCCATCCTCTTTCCTCCGTCCCCATCCTCCTCCCACCTTCCTCCCCCGCCTCCCCCTCCCTCCCCCCTTTCCTCCTCCCCCACCTCCTCCCCCTTCCCCCTCCTCGCCCCCCTCCTCCCCCTCCTCCTCCTCCCCCCCCTCCTCCTCCTCCTCCCTCCTCCTCCTCCTCCTCCTCCTCCTCCTCCTCCTCCTCCTCCTCCTCCTCCTCCTCCTCCTCCTCCTCCTCCTCCTCCTCCTCCTCCGTCTCCTAAAAGGGCGATTCTTTGCTCCGCAGGTGCGGCGCGCCGTGGCCGCCGCACTCGCCCGGGCGCAGAAGGACGCGGCCGTCCAGGTCGCGGGCGAATGCGACCCACGCGGCGGCTGCGGAAAAAGGTGAACCGCCACGGGGTCGGCATCGCTCGGACGTGTGCATTTGTTTCTCGGCGAGGACCATCCAGGAACTTCTGGGATGATCGTGCGACAAAGGGTCGCACGAAATCGAACGATGCACGGGGAATGGATGTCCGAGCGACGGAAGGTGGGGGAGACAGGTCCTGAGGTTTTCCTCCGTTTTCGGGTTCTCGGGGCCCTCCACGGGCCCCTGAAACTGCAAGAAAACGGCTCAGGACGACGAGCTCGTCTTGGGGCAAGGCCCCGGGGTCCAAGACCCGTTCTCCTCCTGCTCATCCCCCCTTCCTGCTTCTCCTCCCCCTCATCCTCCCCCTCATCCTCCCCATCCCCCTCCTCCCACCTCCTCCCCCTCCTCCGCCTCCTCCTCCTTCTCCCCCTCCTCCTCCTCCTCCTCCTCCTGCTCTTTCTCCTCCTCCTCCTGCTCTTTCTCCTCCTGCTGCTGCTCCTCCTCCTCCTCCTCCTCATCTTCCTCTTGCATCATTCCCCCCCTCCTCCATCCTCCGTCCCCATCCTCCTCCCCCTCCTCCCCCCTGCTCCTCCTTCTCCCCCTCCTCCTCCCCCCTTCCTACCCCACCTCCTTCCCCTGTCCCTTCCTGCCCCCACCTCCTCCCCTCCCTCCTCTCCTCCACCTCCTCCTCCTCCTCCACCTCCTCCTCCTTCTCCTCCTCCTCCTCCTCCCTCCTCCTCCTCCTCCTCGTCCTGCTCCTCTCCTCCTCCTCCTCCTCCTCGTCCTCCTCCTCCTCCTCCTCCTCCTCCTCCTTCTCCTCCTCCCCCTCCTCCTCCCTCTCCCCATCCTCTTGAAGGTACTGTCACTCCTCCTCCTCATCCCTCTTCATTCCTTCCATTCCTCATGAATATATCATCCCTGTCGCACCCCGAGGTTGATCGAAATGGCGGGCCGGGCGTTCCGCGTGAAATTTGCTCACATTTCATGGCCTTGTAGGGTTAAAACATTGGGAACAGTTCACGGATGGAGGGCGGGCCGCTTTCAACATGTGGCTCTCGCTTTAGCGCCGCGCGCATTCGTTTGACACATGGCAAGAACTTCACCGATGGAGGGCCGTGCGTTTTCGAAATGTGGTCCTCGCCTTTTTCAGCGCCGCGCCCACTCGCCTAACACATTTCAAACAACTTTCACGGATGAAGGGCGGTACCCTTTCAACATGTGGTTCTTGCATGGGTGCCGCGCACATTTGTGTTACACGAGTTTCACGGATGAAGGGCGGTTCCTTTTCAACATGTGGTTCTCGCCTTTGGCGCCGCGCAAAGAAGTTTCAATGGTTCCCATGGTCCATGGCTAACGTCCCAGGAATGGTGCTTGGGCTGTCAGGGCGCAACAGCCACGTTGATTCGCATGCTGAAGTCCAAGGAATGACGTTCTGGCACGATTCAGGATGGTCAAGACGCAACAGTAACGAGGGTTCGCGGCGCTGAAGTCCCAGGAATGGTATTCTGGCAAAGTTCTGGATTGTCAAACGGTTGTTTTCCAACGGGACACTTCAGTGAACATGAACGCTTGTAGGGGCCAACGAGTTCGAGATCTTGGAGGGAGGGTATAGTGTAGTATCGAAGGTGAGTCTTGGGTTTACACTGGCCCTCTTCCACCTCCTCCTCCCCCCCTCCCCCCCTCTATCGTCGTCGTCTCTCCTCCCCGTGTGTTACTTGTCGCCCTTCCCCGCTCGCGTCGAGGGTACCCTCCATGCTCTCGCACGCGTCGGGCGAGCTCTCGTGGGGATTGGGGGGGGGGGCTGGGGGCACATCGCGCACATTCCTGGAGCAGCAGGGGGATGAGGATGCGCAGGAGAACAAACCAGAGGAGGAGGAGGAGGAGGAGGAGGAGGAGGAGGAGGAGGAGGAGGAGGAGGAGGAGAGGGAGGAGGAGGAGGAGGCCACGCCGCAGGACGAGGAGGAGGAGGGGAGGAGGGGAAGGGAGAGGGGGAGGAGAGGGATGATGATGATGAGGAGGAGGAGAGGGAAGGATGACCAGAGTAGTGTAAACCCAAGATTCGTCAACGATGCTGCAATACACCCTCCCGCCCCAAGCCCCCATCATAAGTCCAGAGAAGCCTTCTTCACTGCAAGACGTACCCCCTTGAAAGACCAGCCCCCAGTTGGCCTGGCATTCAGGCGATAGCCTCGGTTTGAACTCAAGTCTATCACATCCTTATTTCGAGTGTTAGGGACTACGAAAAAGTATGTTCACACAGCTCAGCGATATGTCTAGGAATATCCCCTATGTCCATGCACTTCGAGGACGCTTTAAGCGAGAGCCACCAAATTGAGTTTCCAACTGTGCACCCGCTGCAAATGCCTAGACTCAAGACCTACATTGTGACGAAGTCTCAGGCAAAACGCCCTGCCCCCCTACCGTCTCCTCTGCGGGTGCGACAGGGAGGAGGTATTCATAAGGGAAAGGGGTGGAGGAGGATGAGGGGTAAGAGGAGGAGGAGGAGCAGGAGGAGGAGGATAGGGAGGAGGGGTACCAGGAGGAGGGTATGGAGGAGACGATTTGGGCTCCAGGGCCTTGACGCCACCTATTTGGGCGGCGGTTCCTTCCCTGGAGACTCGAGTGCCTGCAGCATCATCGGCAAGTCCAACGGGGAGGAAGAGAAGGAGCGTGAGGAGGAGGTGGAGGGAGCGGGAGTACAGTCGGACCGAGGTAGTTATAAGATCGAGGTCGGTTCGGGGAGGGTGCCCTAATGATCTTCGTGTGTGTGTGTTGGATGTTCTCGTGCATCCTGGGGGAGGGCACTCTCGAATGCTCTTGATTTTGGCCAGCGGAGGATCTCATGTTTGTGAAGGATGTTCTTCTGGCCCAGGTCCGACTGTATGTGTACGATGAGGAGCGGGGGAGCAGACCGCGACCAGACCGGGTAAAGACGACGACCCCCGCGCGCAGCCGTTTCTCAAAGAGCACGGATCTTCGGACACCCAGCGAAGACCGCTTAAGCTTTAATGCGGGGAACGCCCAGCCTTCCCCCCTCCCTTCTTCACGTCCGGCAGCAGCAGTACGTATCGACCACAGCGTGGGTCCTGACGGGAAGGTTTCCTACCCTGCAGTTCTTCCCCGTTCCCGGCCTCCTTCGGGACCCTCCGGCGCCCGAGGTGGAAAGACTTGCGATGAAGAGCGGGTCCCTGGAGCGTGTTTCTTTCTTGCTTGGGGCATAATGAGCATTACAGCCCCCTCCCCCCCTCCCCCCCCCTACAACGTAACGCCCCTCCCCCCCAGCGCGCTCTGGGCCGCCGTGCGCATCGGGATTCGCATCGGCTTCCGCATAGGAATCCGCATAGAAGGAGAAGGAGGAGGAAGAGGAGGAGGAGGAGGAGGCGGAGGAGGAGGAGGCGCTCCTGGGAACGCACCCGCGTCCAGTTTAAGTTTCCTTCGGTCGCAGATCAGCGGAGCCTTGGATATTGTCGCCGTTGTTTTCTTTTAGAACGCACTCGCGTCGAGCAGCCTCTTGGTAATCGATGAGATGGCGCCGATGTAGCGTCGATCAGCACCGATTTAGCGCCGCCTAGCGCCGACTAGCGTCGATCGATTCGCAAGAGCCAGCAAGATAGCAGTGGAGGCTCCCGTGAGTTGCAGCAGAACGGTCCCCGTTTTCTTCGGGCGCCTTTCCCATTCTACCAGGGTAGGTCGTGCCGTTTCGGCGCGACGGCAGCGCGGGCGCGGCCGCCCAACACCCAATGCCCTTAGCTCACCAGCCCCACACAGCGGCTCACCTGACAACGAACGCCGGAGCCCACACCGCCATGGCCAGAGCTGGCCGCCTTCGAGGCAAACGCTGCACAAACATACCCTTTTTTGAGCTCGCCGTGGGTCTCTTGGATCTGCGCTTGGGCCTCCCTGGCGGGATCGGCGACTGCAAGGGTCGGGGAACAAACAGTGCAATAAATGTAAGCTTTTGGGAGCTCCCCGTGGATTTCCGGGATCTGCGCTTGGGCCCCCTGGCGGCGCCGCCGGCGCCGCCCCTGGCGCGCTCCGCGCGCCAGGGACAGGAGTCCAGCGCGGTTCCGAGGGATCCGCGCGGACCTCCAAAAAAGATGTTTCTGTCGCTTTCTGTCCCTCCAGCATCACCACGTTCTCAGCCGCCAGCTGGGAGAGAGACTCCATTGAAGCCTTCCTGGCTGGTGGTGGAGCGGAGTTACGCTTGGAGCCACTCCCCAAATACACCTGCACACCGATTGTGCCTGCACCGGGGATGGCGGGTGTTCTTGGGAGGGGCGGATGGGACTTGTGGCGGGGAACGTCACGATCGGTGCCAGCGCCGTCTGGGAGGCCCCCTTTGCCTTTTCCGGACGGCGCTGGCGCGAAAATTGACGTTACAGGGGGGGGGGACGGGGGGCCCTCTCTCTTGTCTCAGGGCGACAGCTTCTAAACTGGGCCAAGGAGGCATAACATCCGATCCTTGGCCCATAACTGGCCCAGCACCCGCAGGGGACTCGAGGTGCTACGTCTCGAGCCCATGCGCTGTCGGGGCCAGAGGCGTAGCACATCTCACTGGCTGCCAACGCGGTGGGCTTCTGATTCGCAGCAAGCATTTGTGCAACGCCGCCGTGCCTGGCTGGGGCCATTCTGGGGCCTGAGATTGTGAACATACCCTTCTGGGTACGACCAATCATGCGTACGCACCTTGGCAGTGCCACGGATATTCCTGGCCAGGAACGGTTGTGGTGTACAGGTGCCCTTTGCATGTCAGAGCCTCTAGCGAGGCCTTCCCCGGAAGAATCTAGGTCGTCAGCCCGTCTATGTGGCAAGCTTTTCCGATGTGTTGTCATCTTCCCTCCTCCTCCTTCCTCATCCCCCCTCCTCCTCCTCCTCCTCCTCCTCCTCCTCCTCCTCCTCCTCCTCCTCCTCCTCCTCCTCCTCTCCTCCTCCTTTCGTATCCCTCCTCTGGTATCGTTTTGCCTGTGTGGTAATCCCGCCTTCGGTTTCCCTCATCTTCCCTCCTCCCTCATCCCCCCTCCTCCCCCTCTCCTCCTCGT